TAGTGTTATGATACAAGGGCTCGTCCTCAGTAACAAATGAAAGAGTGAAAGCCAACAAGCTTTGTATATTCTAAGAAAACAATTTATTTCCCCAGACAACAATGTAAAAGTTAGTAAATAGGATTTACAATCTGTGAATTTAATCCAAACTGTGAACCTAAGAATAAAAACACAAGTCCTATCACTAAATAGTCCCTTTATGATTCCAGGTTCGAGTCCCGACGACGTATAAATATCTAAGACGATGACGTCAGATGTGGTCCAATGTATGAATAAAAATAATTCCTCGCTTGAATCACAGTCTTTGTTTCTGAATAATTCCAGAATTAATTACGTTGAATATCGTTCATACACCTTGTTCCTTCAAGATGTTGGAATGACTATGTCCGAAAAAAAAATAGGATTGCGTAATTAGAACTTCCAATACATCATTTAAAGTCTCGAAAGATTAGTCATGTGGTCTGTTACTACGCTAATTTTCACACGTAGGCCAATGCCACTCCACTTGAAAACCAGTCATAAAAAAATGTTGTTTACATTGATCGCACAAAGAAAGTATGCCGTGATACTGACAAATCATTTTGACTTCCTGTTGACAATATTGTCAGTGACTGACTCAATGATATTTCTCACATATCATTTATTTCGTCTTTAGTAAACAAACTTTGTGATAAAAATATATCTCACTACTAAAAATAGAATCCCGAATCCGAGAAAAATATTCATTGCAATAATTGAAACAAAAATTAAATAATTTTTTTTTTACCTTACACACAAGCAATTTAAACACATATACGTAACAGTACAAAGATATGTGCAACGATATGGAACAAACTTTCATCTTACATCATGTCGTATATATATATATATATATATATATATATATATATATATATATATATATATATATATATATATATATATATATATATATATATATATATGTGTGTGTGTGTGTGTGTGTGTGTGTGTGTGTGTGTGTTCAAGATATTGGAACGAAATAAACCTGATCTGTGGTTAAAGGTAAGTTTTAGAATACTTATTAACAAAAAAATTTTTTTTATCATGCCCAAGCCTTCATATTCACGCTCATTATACTGTTATGAACTAAGAAAAAAACATACGTATGATAACGTGACAATATGGCATCTCACTTTAAGTTGTGCCTTACATGCATTGCCCCAACAACACTTGAATGCACAACTACAGTCCAGTTTGGATCTAAAAAGGAAGCTTAGCGACTCCAAAGAATAGAGCAGCTACATGGAAAACAAAACTGACAGAGACGATTGATACATAATCTTGCAGCCAAACCATCAATAAGATCAGCAAAGATGATTAAGAAAATAAAAAACAGTCTTACATTTACAACTCGATATCTCTATTAGTAGGATCAATTTTTTAAATGACTCGGGTCAATGATGAAATATGAATAGAAGATTTTAAATGTTCAAGAAGCTAACTGAATTAATAATACGCAGTTTTATTACCAATAACATTTATATGTAGGTTGTTTACATGTTGTAGTCAGAGGAGTAACTTCCTTCCAAATCAATAGATCATTTGAAACAAGGAATATCATTTTTCAACGCTGGATCTGACTTAGTTTAGAGAAGCCATATGCATAATGGAGAGGACAATTTTTATGATGTTTCCATCTAAGATGTGTCAGTTCCACTAACATGGTTACAGTATTAATAAGGTAGAAAACGTAGCATTCGACTTTTTGCAGATTTATAAGAAATGATGATTAATGGGCACAGAAGCTGTACTAGATCTAGACTTAAGATGTTGCAATGGGAAAGGTTAGCAAACGGTGCTGAAAGGTTAATAGTTGTCAATAGCTGAGTCACAATGCCAAAAAAGCCTAATAGTTCTTGTAAGCACATCCATTAAATGATCCTCTATCTAGGCCATGATGCAGAACTTATCAACCAGGCGACGAACTGCACAACCTGTATTAGCTAGCCCAATGGACAACACGCCCGTGTTTATTTGTGTGTGTGTGTGTGTGTGTGTGTGTGTGTGTGTGCACTTGAAACGAACTTCTTTAAGCTCGTGCATAATTCGGTCATCGGCTAGACAATGGAAACTTGTAGAAACGGATCAGGGTGGACTTCATTTGGCTCAAGAGCACGAAGAACAAGCGCCGCAGCCTCATAGCAGCCCGAGCCTCTGAAGTGAGTAACGTCTTCCACGGCAACTTGGTGGTTGTCGACGGTAACAAGGGTAGCATGAAGCTATATGGCTCAAGTGATCCGAAACTAAAGCAAACCTTCGATGTACGAATTTTACCACGAAAGCATACTGAAACTGATATTTTTCCATGCTTTCAATAATGACGTCGGCAAATTTGCAGAGATGTCTGATTTTATTTCCACCCTTCAAGACACTCTTGCCAGAAAACTGACCAAGGTTTCGCAGTTTAGCCATATGTAATACATAAAAAGTATAGCCTCTTTGTCCTGAGCAATATTTTTAACATTTCACGCTCCACAGT